GTGGGGCCCGAGGGGGCGGGGTTTAGGGAAGGAGGGATTTGAGTGGCGTGTATTACAACAGGGTCCACCTTCCAAAGTGGTGATTTTATTCAGGTGAATCGATCCCTATCCCCTGGAAATCAGCTCCCCCTAAGCTGTAAACTCTTGTGAGCAAAAATTCTACTTTGTGAGCTTTTGTTTTGTTGTTGTTCAGCCGCACAGTCGAGTCCGACGCTTCGCGACCCCATGGACCAGATCCCGCCAGGCCCTCCTGTCTTCCGCCGCCCTCTGAAGTTGGCTCAATTTCATGTTCGTCGCATCTTTGACACTGTCTAACCATCTCATCCTTTGCCGTCCCCATCTTCTTTGACCTTCAGTCTTTCCCAGCATCAGGGTCTTCTCCAGTGAGGGCTCCCTTCTCATTGGGTGGCCAAAGTATTTGAGCTTCAGTTTCATTATCTGGCCTTCCAGGGAACAGTCAGGGTTGATTTCTTTTAGGATTGACTGATTTGATCTTCTTGCAGTCCAAGGGACCCTCAAGAGTCTTCTCCAGCACCATAGTTCAAAATAATCTATTCGGCACTCGGCCTTCCTCATAGTCCAACTCTCGCAGCCATACATGACTTTGTGAGCTACTGGGCATTAAAGCTGTGACTGTGAGCGAGAGATCTGGCTGCTACGTGAATTAGTTTGCTCTGGGGGATCCTTCCTGAGCAGACAAAAATGTGTGAGCCAGAGACTAAAAAACTGTGAGCTAGCTCACACTAACTCAGCTTAGAGGGAACACTGGTTGTAATAGTGGGAGAGTGCCAGCCACCACCTTGAGGTTGGCAGTCCTACCACTAGGGGAGGATAGGGGGTAAGTCTGACAGATCCAGGTTGGGAAACTCTTGGAGAGTTGGGGACAGGGCCTGGGGAGTACAGGGACCTCAGTGGGGCACAGTGCCATAAAGTCCATCCTTCGAAGCCTCCAGTTTCTCCGGGGGAACTGATCGCTGTAGTCTGGGAATAGGGATGCCAGGTCCCAGTGGGGGTTCCCCCACTTTTAGGGGCTGCAGTCCACCAGCCAGTGGGGGAAGACCCACCCCCAAATAGGGATGTCGTTGGGCAAGGTCCCCAACGTGATCATCACCTGGAAGTGATATAATCACATCAGGACGTTGCCCAATGATGTCCCGTCCACCCCTAGAATACCCCCAAATCTCCCCGCTGCAATAGCAAGTGTTCCCTCTAAGCTGAGTTAGTGTGAGCTAGCTCACAGGTTTTTAGCCTCCGGCTCACACATTTCTGTCTTAGCTCAGGAAGGAGGGCTCCAGAGCAAACTAATTTATGCATTAGTCAAATCGCCCGCTCACAACTTTAATGCCAGTTGCCCACAAAGTAGCATTTTTGCTCACAAGGCTCTGCAGCTTAGAGGGAACATTGATAGCAACCCTATCTGGGGATGAGCTGTAATTCTGGGGGATCCTCAGGTCTCACCTGACCTCACTAAAAGTGGTTGCTTTGTATTCATTTATGTTGGTGCCAAGCAAATCCAAAAAAAATACAGGAGAAAGGGATAACGGTATTTTAACGATTTGAAATTTGTGACTTTGAATTTAAGTGTTGTTTATTGTTTTTTATTTGTGCTTATTTGTTTAGGGAATACTTATGCTACCTCGGGGGAATCTGCCTGAGGCTGTGTACAACATAATATAATAAAGCATAACATTAAAAGTGTACCTAAAAACAAATGTATAGCCAGTGCATATCTTTCACATCCTGAGTTATACAGTTCCTGTATCCAACCCCTGGCTTCCACATTTCAGATAAACTAAAGTTTCTGGACCTGAAGTTTTTCCTCCAAGAAATTTATAGCCTAAAAATATACCCATTATGTCAATTATTTGTTTAGATTATATGGATTATGCTTTTTCATGCTATGCATTAACTGTTTGGGCTTCTCAAAATTTTTTGAGACAGATCACAATTATAAAAAATGCTATCAAAGTTTTATGTGTGTGCTCTGGATACCCTATGTCTGCTAATTGTTTTGGGGTTTTTTTACACATGATCTGAGTTATCACTCCTAATCAGGATTACAATAGTCCAGTTGTTTAAGATTGATTGGATCCAGTTGTTTCTGTTTCAGTGTTGTGGTTTCTTTCAGTTCTGTTGCAGATCTACTCTTCTGGCTGCTGAATATCTGTGTTAGGATTGCAGAAAAGGAAAGGAAGAAGGACATTACATCATTTGTTAACCTAGATTCACAAAAATCAAGATTGAATTGCAGAAATTGCATTCTTTGTTGACACTTTGGAAATATAAAACAGAGCTAGGAAATAAAGTTACTTTGGCCCCGGTCACGCGGCAAAGTTACCGCGGGAGAGACACGGGAGTCCCGCGGATTTTCCAGGCGCGATCTCACCTCAACATCTGGGACGCACAGTGCTCCCGTGGCGAACCCGTGGCGAACCCGTGGCTCCCCGCTGAAGGTGCGGAGTTAAAAACTAGTACCTACGAGGTACTAGTTTCCAGAAACCGCAGGGCAAGGGCGGGCGTCTGACCACGTTTCCGGTGGACTTCTGTGGCATCCGGCGCTTGCCCATGTTCTGTCGCAAAGAAGGGTTGTTTTTTTCAAGTCTCCACAGGATGCGCACAAGCACACAACGGAGCATGCGCACAAACAGGAAGCGGCGTTTGCCACAGGAGCCGCGCGGCACGAGTGCCGGTTTGAATGTGCCGTGCTGCTTCTTTGCCGCGCTGCGGACTAGCCGTCTGATCTGCACCTGACGCCTACCCACGGGACCTCCAAAGGACTTCTGATCGGGCTGCCACACGTTATTTTCCTCCAGGGCAATTAGCTCAGTGGTAAATCATCTGCTAATATGAACATATGAAGCTGTCCTATACTGAATCAGACCATTGGTCCATCCTAGTCAACACTGTCCACTCAAACTGGCAGCAGATCTCCAGGATTTCCAGTAGAGGTCTTTCACATCATCTACTACCAGACCCTTTAACTAGAGATGCTGGGGACTGAATTTGGACCTGCTGTGTTACAAGCAGAGGCTCTACTACCGGCTTACCTAAGGGACCGCCTTTCCCCACATGTTCCCCCAAGGGTACTACGGTCGGGGAGTCAACATCTCCTGGAAATTCCAGGCCCCAGGGATGTTAAATTTGCTGTTAGTAGAGCCAGGGCATTCTCGGTGGCGGCTCCTACCTGGTGGAAGGAGATCCCGGAGGAGATCCGGGCCCTGAGGGACCTTTCTCAGATCCGCAGGGCCTGTAAGACGGAGCTCTTCCGCCAGGCTTTCGAGTAGGAGCTGCCGCCACTATAATTCCACCACCGATATGTATGCAGCATCGCACCACTACCACCAATATGTGGTTCCATCTGGGTGCGAGGTGACCCTGGAAGGAGAGGGGATGACAAGTTGCGGGACCAATGCCGTTCGACTAAGATCTACCCCATCTTGCACTGACATTTTGTTGTTGTATTATATTGTTTTACTGTTTTAGACTGTTTTATCTGTTTTAATTCTGGCACTTGTGCCTCATTGTTAGCCGCCCTGAGCCTTTGGGGAGGGCGGGATATAAATCCAAAAATAAAATAAAATAAAAATACTGAGCCATGGTGCCTACCTGATTAGACATCTATTCCAGAGGTTCTTAGCAGAGCCACACGGTATACAAAGTGGTTGCCCATGGGCCCCCGGGCTGTCAACAGACAATTCTACTCCAACAGTGAACTTACAAAATGGAATACCCAATTATTTCAATTTAATATTACTGCTTAGATCAGAGGTCTACAATCTTGTTAAGCTTGTGTGCACTTTTTGGAATTTTGAAACATGGTGGTGGTAAGTGCCACCACAAAATGGCTGTCATAAAAATGGGGGCTGGTCACAAAACACCAAAATGTTCCACAAAATGCCGAGGGGTTCCAAGCCAAGTGTCCTTCTATGATGGCAGCAGCTGCATCCAAAGAGGTGGTCCTTGCAGAGTCAAAGGCGATGGTTCCTTGGCTCTTGTAAAGTACCTCTTGTACCAAGGATTGGCTCTTTGCTTTGGGGAAAAAGATGCTGTTTGATTTCGGTTCTCAAAGGAAGAGGAAGGTTTGCTCCCTGCACAGCCACAAGAGAGGTTTCCCAGGTCAGAGACATAAGGAAATCCATCTCTGGCCAAGCTGAGGGTGCCCAGCCTTTAATCAATATAGTAGGACTTACTTGACGTGGATCTGTTATGCTTTCGTTGGCTACAGCTTTACTGCTGTGTCAAATGAAAAAGAATCTTATCAAAGGCCCCGGTCACGTGGGCCGGAAAATGCAGGGGGGGAGATGTCTAATCAGGTAGGCACCATGGCTCAGTATTTTTATTTTATTTTATTTTTGGATTTATATCCCGCCCTCCCCAAAGGCTCAGGGCGGCTAACAATGAGGCACAAGTGCCAGAATTAAAACAGATAAAACAGTCTAAAACAGTAAAACAATATAATACAACAACAAAATGTCAGTGCAAGATGGGGTAGATCTTAGTCGAACGGCATTGGTCCCGCAACTTGTCATCCCCTCTCCTTCCAGGGTCACCTCGCACCCAGATGGAACCACATATTGGTGGTAGTGGTGCGATGCTGCATACATATCGGTGGTGGAATTATAGTGGCGGCAGCTCCTACTCGAAAGCCTGGCGGAAGAGCTCCGTCTTACAGGCCCTGCGGATCTGAGAAAGGTCCCTCAGGGCCCGGATCTCCTCCGGGATCTCCTTCCACCAGGTAGGAGCCGCCACCGAGAATGCCCTGGCTCTACTAACAGCAAATTTAACATCCCTGGGGCCTGGAATTTCCAGGAGATGTTGACTCCCCGACCGTAGTACCCTTGGGGGAACATGTGGGGAAAGGCGGTCCCTTAGGTAAGCCGGTAGTAGAGCCTCTGCTTGTAACACAGCAGGTCCAAATTCAGTCCCCAGCATCTCTAGTTAAAGGGTCTGGTAGTAGATGATGTGAAAGACCTCTACTGGAAATCCTGGAGATCTGCTGCCAGTTTGAGTGGACAGTGTTGACTAGGATGGACCAATGGTCTGATTCAGTATAGGACAGCTTCATATGTTCATATTAGCAGATGATTTACCACTGAGCTAATTGCCCTGGAGGAAAATAACGTGTGGCAGCCCGATCAGAAGTCCTTTGGAGGTCCCGTGGGTAGGCGTCAGGTGCAGATCAGACGGCTAGTCCGCAGCGCGGCCACAGTTCCGCTGAGCCACAGTTCCAACCTACACAGCCTTTGCATCTTGTTCATGCTTGGTCAAACTGTAAACTCTTAGCCATGTGGACTCCCATAAGTTTTCCTGAAGATGACACCAAAGAAACATCTACATGTCCTGAAGTAGGTTCTTCTTGTTCATGCTGCAATAATCACAAAAGAGTATGTGTGATGTAGTAGAGTTTCAGATCGGGTTCAAATTCCCATTCAGGAAATAGTGATGTCTCAACAAGGGATGCCACCTGCGGTCACCACTTCCCACCTTTGCCCCCCACAACCTCTGCCTGCTGGCTGAGTCCAGGGCACCTAATGTTCCTTCCAGGGCTCTTTTTGTAGAAAAAGCCCAGCAGGAACTCATTAACATAACAGGCCACACCCAACAGCAGGAACTCATTAGCATATTAGGCCACACCCTGACCACACCACTCATTGGCACATTAGGCCACACCCCCATGTTACCAGAAGTGTGGTCATCCAGCCACACCCACTTTTCCCTTCTTATTCTGTTTACCTTGTTTGTTGTCAAAACCCAGGGCTTTTTTTGTAGCAGGAACTCCTTTGCATGTTAGGCCACACACCCGTAATGTAGCCAATCCGAATGAGTTTCTGCTATTGGGTGTGGCCTATTATGCTAATGAGTTCCTGCTGTGTGTGGCCAACTTGGGAGCCAGCCGGAACCCCGTTCCTGTGCGTTCCTGCCCAAAAATAGCCCTGGTTCCTTCCCTCCTCATTCACTGGGCATGTGCATGCCCTATCCGGTTTTCCAAACGGTTGGGAAGTCCTACTGAATTTGAACAAAGTTCGTGTCCAGTGGCACCTTTAAGACCTACAAAGTTTTATTCAAGGTTTAAGCTTTTGTGTGCACGCACACCTCTTCAGAAACCTCACACCCTGATTAAATCTTTCTTGGTCTTGAAGGTGCCACTGGACTCAAAATTTCTTCAGCTGCTCCAGACCAACATGAATACCCACCTGAATCTATCCTATTGGATTTGTGCAACTTCATGTATTGTGTGGAAAGATGTCTTGGGAAGCAAAGGGGACAAGACAGAGGAAGAGACAGCAAGAGTGGCAGCAGAGGCTGACTGAGACCACCACCTCGCCTCACATCATTCTAGATCAGGGGTCCCCAACATGGTATCCGTGGGTGGCATGACAAGTGTACCCTCTAAGCTGAGTTAGTGTGAGCTAGCTCACAGTGTTTTAGCTTCTGGCTCACACATTTTTGCCTTAGCTCAGGAAGGATGGCTCCTGAGCAAACTAATTCATGCCGTAGCCAAATCGCTCGCTCACAACTTTAATGCCAGTAGCTCACAAAGTAGAATTTTTGTTCACAAGACTCCACAGCTTAGAGGGAGCCTTGGCCATGACATCCACTGTCACCTTTCTTGGCACCTGCCAAGAGGTTTTAAAAAATGTGTGGAGTCAGGTGGGACTTCTGTCCAGTAGGGCTTCTGACTGGCCATTGGAGAACTGATGGGTTTTGCAGACTAAAAAAACAAAATCCTGCAGCAGCAGCTGTCACAACAGCAGAAGAAACTTGACTGTGTTGCTGAATTTAAACTGTGTAAGCAAGAAAACATTTTTTAACATCGTTTTAAAAGGCATCCTGTTAAGCGGAGCTGCTTCCTGAAATGTTGAAGGGTTGCTATTAGAGTTATGCATAACCTCCCTCCCTGACATTTTATGGCTGGCTCCACCTCCTGCAGCAGCCATGTTGGAGTTGCGCCCAGCAGAATTCCAAAGGCTGACAAAAGTTGGGGACTCTTAGTGCCATCTCTGCATTTAACTCACTGTGACCTGATTCAGCCATACATCATGGGCTGCATCCATGCATCATGGGCTTTTCTGCTATCGTTGCACTATAAGCCATCATTTGCAACTGGATGTTTCTGTGTGGACAAGACTACCCACTTGCACATTACTGCTGTAGCACAATATCCAACAGCATGTGGATGCAGCCAGAGCTGCTGGGCGGGTTAAAACAGAGAACTGTGTATAATTCCCTTGGAGGAAGGGTAGGCTAAAAACACACACAGGTCAATGGTCTAAAGTTTGTAGTCTTTCTGGTACCATGAGACTCAATTGGGTTTTGCTGCAACAGACTAGAAGAAACGATTCCTGTTGCCCTTTGCGCTAACAATTACAATGTATTACTCCGCTACGACAACCCGTTTGTTATTGGGGCTATCATGTCAAAAAGGCAATTCTTTTCTATTTCCTTGAAAAGTAACTGAATCACCGACAGGCATCCTCTGATTGACAGCTACATTTACAGCTGTTTCAGACATGCAGGGCATCAGCAAGCGGAAGGAAAAGCATTAAAGATTATAACGTCTTTTTGTGTAATAAGAAAAGATGCCTCATAGGTGTCCTGGTGACTATAAGAAAGCCTCCTCCCTGGGATTACGTTGGTTGTTGTGACCCATCCTAAGTCCTGTAGTCCGAGCTAATAATTGACAGGAGTTTTACAATTGTGAGCTTTTTTTTTTTCACTCAAGCTTTGATAAGACACTTCAGCAGTTACTAGCAAATGAAGACAGGCTGTGCAGCAGGGAGCCTGGGGAGTTGAATGGCTTTTCTCCAGTCGCGGCAAGAGAAATTTGACTTTTAACATATGCTCCAGTGGGACACACCATGCTCGTGGGACACCGGAAAGGAACGGCAGCTTCATGGGCGTTGTTTTTTGCGCAGCTAGTCCTTGGACTTGACATGGACGGAAGATCCGTGTGGAAAAAAGACCCCAATTTAAGTCCTGTGAATGAAACTCAGCTGTTTCCGTATGACACATTCCCTCCGGAGTTCCTCTGGGGTGTAGGAACTAGTGCTTTTCAAGTGGAGGGGAGCCAGAGGAAGGATGGGAAAGGACCCTCGATATGGGAACACTTCATCCAGTCACCTCTCGGAACCGGTTCCAGGATCGATGACTCCAGTGACAGCTACACTCTCCTGGAAAAAGATTTGACAGCTCTGGATTTTTTGGGCGTTTCTTCTTACCACTTTTCGATTTCCTGGCCAAGGCTCTTTCCCACTGGGATGGTAACAGCTGTCAACGAACAGGGGCTCCATTACTACAACAGGCTTCTCAATGCTCTTATCCACAGACGGATTGAGCCAGTGGTCACCCTTTACCACTGGGATTTACCTTTGGCACTGCAAGAGGAATACGGGGGCTGGAAAAATGAATCCCTCATCGATATTTTCCACGACTTTGCCAACTTTTGCTTCCAAGCCTTTGGGGATCGCGTTAAATACTGGATTACAATCCACAATCCTTACCTGATTGCTTGGCATGGGTATGGCACGGGTATCTATGCACCAGTTAGAGAGGAGAGAAAGAGCATCTGTCTACATCGTGGTCCACAATCTGATCAAGGTAAAGTATAGCCTGATTTGGTTTCATTGTTATCAGCGAAAGTTTTATCATAGCAAGTAACAGTCATAAATAATCTTAATTGTTGCCACCTTAAAGACTTCACAAAAACAAATTTCTTCCTTGGTTCTTTCTTGTCTGTCGGTATGATAAATGTGCCACTACATATAAAATTAAACTGCCGTCCTTGGGCATGATTCAGCCAAGGTACATGTGCTTTTTAAGTCCTGCTCTTTTCAAAGGGTGAGCTAAATATCTTCTTCAAACTACACTCTTTACCAGGGATAAATCAAACTGAATTCAGTGGGTTGTAGCCCGCCAACTTTCTCAGTCATTCTTGATCAATTCCCCCTCCTTACTGTAAGGGCCTGTAAGACAGAGATGTTCCACCGGGCTTATGGTTGAGGACAGCAAGAGCCTCCATCGTATTTGGCCCATGATCTGCCCTTCCCCATGGAACGAGAGAAATATCCTGAATGCCGTTGAATTTAGGCTGTATTTAATCGCTCTTATCTTGTCGATTGATTGCTATGATGTATGATTTGATTTATTGGATGCTTTAAGTGTGGTGTACACCACCCTGAGCCCTTTGGAGGGAGGCAGTTTATGAATCATCATCATCATCATCATCATCATCATCATCATCATCATCATCATCAAGGCTTCTTTCTTGGGGAACACGTCAGAACAGAGTTCCAGAACTTCTACAACAAAATTATTTTTTAAATGTTAAAAGTTCATGAATTTTCAGTATACAGATTGAAAACTCCATTTCTCTCTTGGGAGTTCCGGCACCTCTTTTTCCAAAAAAGGCGATGATGATGATGATGATGATGATGTAGACCCCATCCCAAATGGCTTTTCTCCATGCAGGTCCCATGATCTCCAGTAGAGCCCTTTTTGGTCATCAAAACGAACCCCATCCCTTCCTTATTCACGAGTGGGATAGCATGTTGGACCCAATCCATTGGGTCTTATTTCTGAGAAAGGTTTACATGGTCCTTTCCCCTTAAAATCGATAGGACTTAATCTCTAACTTTTCTCCCTACTGGGGACTCAAAGGAGCTTGCAACAGCCTTCTCCCCTCCTCCATATTTGTCTTCACAGACCAAGATGAGTAGCCGTGTTAGTCTGCTTGCAGCAGTAGAAAAGAGCAAGAGTCCAGTAGAACCTTAAAGACTAACAAAATATGTGGCAGGGTAGGCGCTTTTAAGCGCCTACCCTGCTACATATTTTGTTAGTCTTTAAGGCGCTACTGGACTCTTGCTCTTTTCTTATCTTCACAGACATTACTGATTGTTGTCTGTTCCCTAAAAAGGCTTGCGCTTCCTTCCGAGCTTCATGTGTCTAGTCCAATAATACCCTTCATACGTTGAAATCATTTGATAAGCATAAACAAAGTTTTATTGAACAGTCCAAAATCTGACAAATTGTAGCTAAATGGAGCACCCATAAATAAAGGATAATTAAAGAACACATCCCCAGCACGATAAAGTCCCATCGCAAACAAATGGCCACCACGCTGAACTAACAAGGTTACCAGGCTCCTTTAAACTGCTTGAAGAGAAACATCCTTTATGTCAATATTGAAGAATTTCAGAACGACGTCAGCCCAGTCCTGTTTTCACGTATATACATTTTAAATGGTAGGTTAAAGTACCGTACTCTTCCTTGCTGCATTGAATTACGCACACCAAAGAAGCAATCCTACCATTATTTACTTAATGCTCAGTTTAATTAGATATAGCTCACATCCTAAATCCGTAAACAGTAGTGCTTGGCGTGATTTGTGTTTCTTCTGCTGTTAGAAATTAAATTCAGCAGCATCATACCAGCAATTACATCAGCAGAGAAATAATATAGGTCTGAATGTTTCGCAAGAAATACTCATTAGGTCCTTATTAATGGTAGCTTTACAGTTATACAATTGGAATTTTCCTTTCTCTTCTTTCCTCTCCTGAACAACTTTGATTCACCGACAGTTCCAGGTCACAAGACACCAATGTTCTCTCTAAGCTGAGTTAGTGTGAGCTAGCTCACAGTTTTTCAGCCTCCAGCTCACACATTTTTGTCTCCAGAGCACACTAATTTATGCAGTATCCAAATTGCTTGCTCACAACTTTAATGGCAGTAAGCTCATAAAGAAAATTTTTTGCTCACAAGGCTCCACAGCTTGGGGGGGGGGGAGGAGAAGAAGAAGAAGAAGACTTTAAAGAGTACGGCCATGGCAATCTCATCATCTTCTACCTGGAGACTAGGCTGAAAGGAGAGAAAGGAAAGCATTAAAAATGTTGGTGCCTGGCATGTTGTTAGGTTGTCCGCATGTGGATAAATTTCCTTGCAAGCTTATCCATGCTGAGGTCCCCAGCAAATGAACAGAAACATGTACATGGCCGGTGCCACTATAGGGATGCCAATTCCCCCCGGGGGGCGGGGAAATCCCCGCCCGGGAGGCCCGTTCCCCCCCACCGCCGGATCGGGCCCCCGGGGGGAACCCCACCCCCAAAGCACGTCACACGGAAGTGACGCAAGCACGTCGGGGACGTTGGGGGCAGGGCCACAATCATCCGAGGGAAAACTCTATGGTTTTCCCTCGGATGATTCTGGCCCCGCCCCCAACGTCCCCGACGTGCTTGCATCACTTCCGTGTGACGTGCTCGCGGCACGCGCGCGCAAAGCACATGCGCGAAGACTCCCAGAGCAAGGCTGGATTCCCCCGCTCTGGAACAGGTAAGCACTTGGGCAACCCTATGCCACTACCACTAGTCACATGACTGGCTTTGTGGCTGCCATGTTCCTTTCCTACCCTCCTGGACAGGCCTCTAGACTAGGGTTGCCAGGTCCCGCCCCCCCCCCCCGGCCAATGGCAGGGGCTCAGGGGAAGGTTGCCAGATCCAGGTTGGGAAACTCCTGGAGATTTGGGAATGGAGCCCTGGGGTAGGACAGGGACCCCACTGGGGTACCATGCCCTAGAGTCCACCCTCCAAAGCATTCATTTTCTCCGGGGGAACTGATCTCTGCAGTCTGGAGATGAGCTGTAATTCGGGGGGATCCCCAGGTCCCACCTGGAGGCCGGCATCCCTATGCACTTCAAAAGTCAGAGTGATGCTGACACTGGAGATCTTGCTTCTAGAAGAACAGCGGAAGCCCAGAGCGGCATCTGCATGACAGCTGGTGATGCATAGTGGTTAGAGAGCTGGCGTGGCAAGAGTGGTCAGAGTGCCAGACTAGGGACTGAGATGACCAGGTTCAGATTCCCCCTCTGCCATTGGGGTTTGCTGCCTGACCCTCGGCCTGCCACAATCTCTCAGACTAAGCTACCTCGTGAGGGCATTGTTGTGATGATAACGCGGAGGCAGGAGCCTAATCGGGGGGGAAATAAAATAACATTATCAATAATAAAGAAACGTGTTATAATTAAATATACTCTACAGCTTCCAACAACTACAAGCACCGACCCTCGTGTCTCGCATGTAAACCCAAAGAAAAAGAAAACAAAATGGAATTTGTGGGAATGAAATGGCACCAGCTCATTCACTCTCTCTCTCTCTCTCTCTCTCTCACACACACACACACACACACACACACACACAATGCCTGGCCTGTCTACCTACACTTGCAGGTGTTAGCACATTGCACATGGATGGCCTAAAAAAAACCAAGACTTAATTCTCAGCCAATCTACAAAAGCTTCTTTGGAGAGGATTCTTAGGTGATGAAGCAAGCCACTGTTTACAATCCTGTAATGGACCTATTCTTGGGCACGAACTGAATAGTGTGTGTGTGTGGGGGGTTTAAACAGTAACATGAATTAGACCTGGCTGAGATGTATGACTGCAACAGCAATGAGTGGCTCACGTGTGGGAATCAGCCATCACAGATCAACCACAGACAGAACACAAAGCACCGCACATCCTTCGCTCACAACAGGTTGCAGCGAAGTTGCGAGGCATTTGCAATAACAATGGAGCAGCCACATGGCGGTTCCCCCAAAACTTTGCTGGACTCATCTCTCAACAACTGTCATTCTCCTTGGTGCCACCAGAGGACTTTCTCAGACTTAAAAAAAAAAAGATAATTGATGTATCCCTGTAGATTAGCACTATAGTGATGTGTCAAAATCCGGATGGGGTGGTGGCACAGGGCTGGGGCAAGTAAAATGGCATACATGTGAGTGGGACCTGCTAAAATGTGCATTTTACTCACGACACAGTATGTAAACACACTTTGATTACAACCTTTCCCAAAAGAAAGTATCAAACTAACCAGATCTGAGAAAGCAGGGGGAGACCTGGATCGTGAAACATTAGGGGATGACATTGTGTGATATTGTGCGGATGCAGGGGTCATTTCCTGCAGGAGCGCACAGGAGCGGAGCTCCGGCAGTAAAGAGCCCAGGGGGCGGGCACATGCAACAAGCCCCAACCCTGCTCCCAGCAGCCCTCAGTGAGAGCAAGAAGCAGCCAGGTAAGTCGCAGAGACCCCCTCCTGCCCCCCCATGTCCAAAACAGTCCAGTGGCTCCTTTAAGACCAAGTTTTATTCAGGTACAAGCTCTCCCTCCTCTGCGAGGACAGATCTGTGCATTCCCCCCCCCCAATAGCTAGCAATCCAAAACAGTCCAGTGGCACCTTTAAGACCAGGTTTTATTCAGGTACAAGTTCTCCCTCTGGGGGACGGCTGTTTACTTCCCCCCCCCCCCCAAATAGCTAGCAATCCAAAACAGTCCAGTGGAGCCTGAGCGGTGGGTGTTGCCTTCCGACACACTTCCGGTGATGTCAGGGGGTGTCGCATATGCAAATAAGTTATGCTAATGAGCTCCTGCACCTCTTTTTCTACGAAATGACCGAAAAGCAGTTTGAATGCTAGTCTTGAGTAAAACCACCATGTGGAAGTATCTTGTCATTTTGGGGATGGGAGAGGGTGGGAAGTGAAAGCAAGCTAAAATAGAACAGGAAAGGGGCTTGATCCGCAAACATCTGTACACACCATAGCCACAGGCTAC